TGACCATATCATAACAAAAACTCCCGCAGTTGATGAGTATTTTAATATATCATTTGAATTTCTAGACCAAATATATTTTGAGATATTCGAGTTTACTTTAGTATAGTCGATTAATCTCCACCCTATACTGTAATTGTTTGGAACAATTGAATGTTTCTATATTTTAAATGGTGTCCAATGTGTGAATTAAATAGTGTGACCACTTCCTCGTCATTAAAAAAAGAACAAATAGAGAACAATAGATACAATAGATATGTATGTTTATAAACAATAAAAATTACAGAAGTGATCGATTCCGGGACTGAAGATAGAAGTAATGAAAACCAATACTTAGCTGAAGACAACGACGAAGAACCTACCGATGAGAATGAGAGCAATGAATGCAACGAACAAAATGATAGCACCGATGAAAATGAAGACAACGAAGAAAGTGAAGTGGAAATGGAAAGGGAGTCCCATTCAAACGACCAATCATTACAACCCCCGGACAGCAACACTGCTGTAGAATCGAGTTCTGAAACCAATGCTGCCATAGAAGACAATTCGGGTCAACAATTAAAAGAAAGTGAAGAAAAGAACGAACAAAATGAACAATTAGTTAATAGTAATGAATCAAACGAAGAGCAGACCATAGACTTGAATGAAAACTCTTTCACTACAGAGGAAAAATACAATATCAACGATGTTAGCGATGCTAACGATGTGAATGACGTTATCGATAATTTGGGGGCTCAACAAAATGGTCGCTCAAGAGCTCATATCGACGATATTCTTCGAGTCTACGAGATTGGTTCGCAAGAGGTAAGGGGTGTTTGAAACAGTGTTTGCAGATTAATATTGTAATATAATGTATTGGCGTTCCTTCTTATAGGATACAAGTGAACAAAACCTCATTTTATCCATATATCGAGAACTTAAAAAACTTTATGAGTCGTCTGTAAAACCATTAGAAATGATATATAAGTACAGACACATCACCACAAGACTGATCACGTAATGATTGAAAACAATGTACTTTATACATGTTTATAGTTGATGTGTATGTTGTATATTGTACATTGTAGTGATGCCGAATTGTTTGCCAAACCCAAAGTGCTATTTCTCGGCGGAAAGTCGAGTGGAAAGACAGCATTAGTTAATTATCTATTAGGAATTGATTCGACTTCTATGCAACTAAATTCAGGTAATCAAACACTGGTATTGTCTTGAATGTAGTTTTAAAGTGAATATTTTTAATTATAGGCTTAACTACAAATTACCCTCATTTCTCTGTTTTAAGCTATGGAGACAACTACACACGTCTGAGTCCGACTGAATTGTGCGCTGACTTTACTTTTTCTAGTCTTCAACAGTTTGGTCAACAATTTCTCGAACACTATATTCAAGCCAATAGAATGCCTATTAGTTTATTGCAAAAGGTTTTCAATTCAATTAAAGCAAACAGATATTCATTCGTATTATTGTAAATCTTGTATCAATCAATCATTCAGATGACAATCATTGATAGTCCGGGACTTATGGATCAAATAAGCAAAAGTGGGACAATAGGCCAGCAAGTGATAGATACTGATGTCTACCAGTGGTTTATCGATAGAAGTGATGTCATATACATAGTGATTGATGTGACACAATTGCAACTCTCGCACCAACTAAAGGCATTAATTGAACAGTTAAAGGGTTTGATACACTGTTTGTCTATTCATTGAACAAAATAATGGCTAATATATCCCAATTGCGTGTCCGTCACAGGAAGGGATGTGAGATTTATATTAAGTAAATCAGAACTGGTCTCTCATTCACAAATCATAACAATGATCGGTCAACTCTTGTGGATCTTATCACCGATCATGCCATCGGAAAGACCACCTCAAGTGTATGCCTTAACCAGTAAGTAGTCTATGGTTTTATTGCCACTAATGCATGTGTTGTATGATTAGCGGTTCCACAGCAAGTGTACGATGCATTCATCGATGATCAGGAGGTTTCGTGGCTAAAAGACCTCTCCAATCAAATCAGTGGTATCTCTAGAGTCGAGTCACGTGTAGCGGCGCTGCGCCGACACGCGGTTCGGGTCCGAAATCACGCCAAACTCGTCGACTGCTATTTGTCCACATTTTA